AAGTGGCAGTACCACTTTCCAAAGTGGCTGTACCATTTTGAATTCCCATCAGCAGTATAAGAATTTCATTTGTTCAGTATCCTCATCTACACTTGATATTATCAGTCTTTTAATTTTATCCTTTCTAGTGAATGTGGAGTAGTGACCCCTTGTGGTTTTAATGTACATTTCCATAAACACTGATAGAAATGCATGGCGCCCTGGTGGTGCAGTGGTTAAGAGCTTGGCTGCTGACCGAAAGGTCGGCAGTTTGAATCCACCAGCTGCTCCTTGGAAACCCTATGGGGCAGTTCGACTCTGTCCTGTAGGGTCGCTATGGCTCGGAATTGACTCGACGGCAACGGGTTTGATTTTTTTTTCTTTAAGGAGTCATGAGGAGAACCCTGGTGGTACAGGGGTTAAGTGCTCGGCTCCTAACTGAAAGATCGGTGGTTCAGCTGCTCTGTGAGAGAAAGATGTGGCAGTCTGCTTCTGTAAAGATTTACCACCTTGGAAACCCTACGAGGCAGTTCTACCCTGTTCTATAGGGTCGCAATGAGTCAGAATCCACTCGAAGGCAATGGGAAAAACTGACGATCATGAGAATCTTTTTGTGTGCTTATTTGTTATTCATTTATCTCCTCTGGTGAAATGTCTTCAAATCTTTTGCCCGTTTTATTTATTAGGATATTTGTCTTCTTGTTATTAAGTTGTAAGAATTCTTTATATGTTTTGAATGAAAGTACTTTATCAGATAGGAGTTTTGCAAATGTTTTCTCCCAGGCTGTAACTTGTCTTCATTTTCTTCATAATATCTTCCAAAGAGCAAAAGTTTTAAATTTTGATGAATTTCCAACTTTTGGTAATTGTGGTTTTCTTTTATGGTTTGTGCTTTTTTGCATTCTAAGATTTTTGTTTGCTTTATAGTTATCTTTCTTACATTTAAGCATATGATCCATTTTGAGCTAATTTTTATGTAGTGTTAAGCAAGAGTAGAAGTTCGTATTTTTTCATGTGTGTATCTAATTGTTCTAGCACTATTTATTAAAAGGCTATCATTCTCTCATTTAATTACTTTGATAACTTTGTCAAAAATCAGTTGACCATATATTTGTGGTCTGTTTCTGGACTCTATTCTATTACCCTGATCAGTATGTCTACCTTTATGCCAATACCACAGCATCTTCAAATCAGGTAGTTTAAGATCTCCAACTTATTTTGTGTTTGTTTTTGCTATTCGAGATCCTTTGCATTTACATATAAGTTTTAGGATGAGCTTGTCAATTTCTACAAAAAGCCTGCTTGCATTTTAATTGGGATTACAGTGAATCTGTAGATGAATTTGGGGATAATTGACATCTTAACAATACTGAGTCTTCCAGTCTATTAACAATTTAGATCCTCTGTAATTTCTCTCAGCAGTGTTTTGTTGTTTTATGTACAGGTCTTACACATATTTTGCTTGAAAAATATGAAAAATTACTTCATGCTTTTGATGCCATTGTAAATGGTTTACTTTAATTTTCAATTATTTGTTGTTAATATATAGAAATAAAATTGATTTTTACATATTGACTTTATATCCTGGTACTTTGCTAAATTCAATTCTCCTCATGAGTCTTTAAAAAAAAGAAAGAAACCCGTTGCCATCTAGTCAATTCCGACCCCTAGCGACCCTACAGGACAGTAGAACTGCCCCGTAGGGTTTCCGAGGAGCAGCTGGTGGATTCAAACTGCCGACCTTTCGGTCAGCAGCCAAGCTCTTAACCACTGCACCAGGGCTCCATACATTTCTATCAGTGTTTATGGAAATGAACATTAAAACCACAAGGGGTCACTACTCCACGTTCACTAGAAAAGATAAAATTAAAAGACTGATAATACCAAGTGTAGGTGAGGATACTGAACAAATGAAATTCTTATACTGCTGATGGGAATTCAAAATGGTACAGCCACTTTGGAAAGTGGTACTGCCACTTTCGGTAGTTTTTTTGTTTTTTTTTTTTTAATAAAATTCACTTATCATACAATCCAGAAGTCCCACTCTTAGGTATTTACCCGACTGAAATGAAAACATATGTTCATACAAAGACTTGTACTCAAATGGTCACAACAACTTTACTCATAATAGCCCCAGACTGGAAACAACACAAATGACCACCAACTTGTGAACAGTAAGCAAAATGAGGTATTCCATACAATGGACAATAAAAAGGAAGGAACTAGTTTGTTCTGTAAACCTTCATCTAAAGTACAATTAAAAAAAAAAAGGAAGGAACTATATATACCGGCAACAACATGGATAAATCTCAAAAGCATTAAGTGAAACAAGCCAGAACAAGAGACTACATACTGTATGATTCTTAGAAAAGGCAACACTATAAAGACAGAAAGCAGACCAATGATCACCAGGAGCCAAAGGTCAGATAGCATTGATTGCAAAGGGGCATCAGGAAACTTTTTGGGATGATAGAAATATTCCCTGTCATGATTGTGTTGGTGGCTATATAACTGTACATTTGTCAAAACTCACGGAATTGCACACTTTACCTGCACAATTAAAATGGGTGAATTTTATTGTATGTAACTGACACTTCCATAAAGCTGATTTAAAAACTTCAAAGTATCAGCCTTCAGCCAAAGATTAGACAGGCCCATAAAACAAAACAAGACTAAATGGGCACACCAGCCCAAGGGCAAGAACAAGAAGGTGGCGGGGCCAGGAAAGCTGGTAATGGTGAACCCGAGGTCAAGAAGGGGAGAGTGTTGACATGTTGTGGGGTTGGCAACCACTGTCACAAAACAATATGTGTATTCATTGTTTAATGAGAAACTAATTTGCTCTGTTGACCATCTAAAGCATTAAAAAGAAACAATTCTATAGAAGAATCCTGATCAAAAGGGGGAAAATGGAGAACAGAATTTCAAATTCTCATGGACTTGAGACTTTCTGGAGCCATGGAGGCTGGATGAACCCATAAAACTATTGCCCTAAGATAATCTTTAAATCTTAAACCAAAAATATCCCCTTAAGTCTTCTTACCCAATGTTGGATAAAAGCAGTGAAAGCAGACATCCTTGTCTTGTTTCTAATTGGAGGAAAGTATTTAGCCTTTCATCACTAAGTATAATGTTAGTTGTAGGGTTCTCGTAGTTTCTTTCTATCAAGGTGAGGAATTTCCTTTCTATTCCTAGATTACTGAGAATTTTTTGGTATCATTAATGCATATTGAATTTTGTAATGCTTTTTCTGTATCTGTTGAGATGCTCACATAGTTTTTATTATTTAGTCTTTAACATGGTGTGTTACTTTTATTGACTTTCAAATATTAAATCAATCTGGCATTCCTGGGGATGAACCCTACTTCATCATGATACATTATTCTATTTATATATTGCTAGATTTAATTTTTAATTTTTTTGTGGAGAATATTTGTATCTGTGTTCACAAGGAGGAGCCCTGGTGGTACAGTGGTTAAGCGCTCAGCTGCTAACCGAAAGGTCGGCGGTTTGAACCCACCAACAGCTCCAGAGGAGAAGAATATGGCAGTCTGCGTGCGTAAAGATTTACAGCCTTGGAAACCCTATGAGGCAGTTCTTCTCTGTCCTATAAGGTCCTATGAGTTGGAAAAGACTCGACGGCAATGGGTTTGTTCATGAGGAGTATTGCTCTCAAGTTTTCTTTTCTTCTGGTGTCTTTATCTGGTTTTGTAATCTGTATTAGATTTTGATTAGCTCTCATATTTTCTAGTCATATTGTTAGAGTTAAATGGTTTTTGATCTTCATAACATGATAGTTCTGCTTTTCTTATCCTGATCTGTGGGAAAAAACTTTTTCTTTTTCCCTGGAGCTGACTTCTGTTTACTTCTCTATTCAGGGTGCTCAGAAGAATGATTGATAGAGCTGATAATCAAGCTTCTAGAGTTCAGGCTACTGGGACAGAGAAAAGCTGTGATCCTCTTGAATAGTAATCATATTGTCAAACATCAAACACTCTCTGCAAAAATGTATCGCATATAACCCTGTATAATCTTTATAACACTATAAGATAGATAGTAATTATCATCGAGTAGAAGAAGAAGAAGGCCTTGAGGGATACTACTTGCCCAGCCTAAAAGGTTATGAATCTTGTATAAGCAGCAGAGCAAAGATTAATACTCAAGTTTAACTTCCTCTTTATATGATGATGTAGTAACTAGTATGGGCAGAGCCACCCAGCTAACCTGTGATGGATAGACTGAAATGAGTATTACATTGTGAATTCTGTAAACTCCTAAGTAGTATGACTGGGAAGTCTTCATGACTGGGAAATCATCAAGTTTTTTTCCTTCTACTTTATGTATGAAACTGGGCCATGTATGCCTATTTATCCAATGGTACAGAAAAATTTCTTTTGTGATCTTCTTAGATTATTTTATATAAGGTTGCATTTCAGTCTTTTATAAAGATGGAAATCCAATATATTCTAATCAATGAATGTATAAAAGTAGTACATGATTATAATACATGCCTCCTTTTTTTTTTTTTTCTGTAGCAATGAAGCTTGGAGATACATGGGTGGATTTGCAAACAATGTTTCCTTTGTTGGTGCAATACTGAAAGGATTCAAATGGGGATTTGCTGCATTTGTAGTAGCCGTAGGAGCTGAGTATTTACTGGAGTCCCAGAGTAAAGATAAGAAGCATCACTGAAGATAGTACCTGGAAGTATCTTAGTGGCTTATTAACTCTCTTATAAAAAATAAGATTTCTGTATCATAACCTACTTGTCTGTATGTTTGTCCATTAAATAATACTAGTAAAATAAGAAAATTTATGCCAATGTCTTTTTGTCATTCTTTAAAAAAAACAAAAAACAAAAAACCAGTGTCTCAAGCCATATCAGATTTGGTTTGGAATAAATGGGCTATTACCAGCAGCAATGCATTCTGCATATAGTAGACAGCCAGCATATGTTTGACTGAACAAATGGATATGCTCTAATAGGTTTTTAAATGGGAGTTGGCCTTGCTTCTTTTACCAGCCTCTTTAGGAAGCATAGAGGGACCTAGATGATATTGTAAAATACTTCCTTCCCAGTTCTGGTTGAGAGGTCCATGTATCATGTTCATTTTTCTTTATTGTGTTATTTCCTACTCTTACCTGAGTCCTCAATTGTTCCCATGTCTTGAAGAGCTTGACCTTTTTATTTTTTAACGTATTTCTGACTAGATATTCTCCCCCATCATTGAATTTTTTAAATTTGATTAATTGAATCTCTAAAGTTGAGATTTAAAACTAAGCTGCTTCTTGAGGAGGATTAATATTTTTGCTTGAATAATGAAGCTAATATAAAACTCATGGATGATTTTTTTCTTTGTAAAGTTCTTGGGTATAAATATCAACTCAAGCAATCACTAAATAAGACAAAGATGAATTCCTAATAAGCTGATAGTGATAAATGCAATGTGGCAAAATGAAATCATAAAAAATACTCAATCCAAAATAAGATAATGAAAGAGTTTTAAAAGGAACAAAGGACAATGGAACAAATAGAAATAGCAAAATGGTATATTTAAACTTAATCATATCAGTAATTATATTAAATGGTCTAAAGTTCAAACTGTAAAACATCCCAATTAAGAGACATCTTGGGCAAAAAAGAAAGGCCCAACTATAAACTGTCTACAAGAAAACCACTTTAAAAACAGTAAAAGGATGGAAAACACTAATGAAACAAGGATGCAAACACCAATGGAAAGAAAGCTGGAGTGGCTGTATTAATATCAGACAGTAGATTTTAGAACAAGGAATATTAACTGTGGTATTTAAAGAGGGACTTTCCATAATAAAAAAGGGTTAATTGAGAACAAAAATCTTTAATGTATGTGCAGTGTATAAATGTGTATGCAGAGTGTGAAAATATATGAAACAAAAATAGAACTAAAAGGAGAAACAGACAAGTCCACAATGGTAATTGCAAATTTCAATGCTTCTTTCTCAGTAATTGATAGAACAAGTTGAAAATTAATAAGGCTTTTCAAGACTTGAACAGCACTTATCAGCCAGCTTGACATAATGTTTGTAGAACACTGCTAATTGTGTTTGTAGCCTCATAAGCGCTGTAGATGATAATAAGTAAAAGTATTACCCCATTTTGTATGTAAGGAAGTTCCATAGAATTAAAGTAACTCAACTCAAGATGATGGTAAGTTCCAGAGTTAGAATTTGAATCCAGGTCTGATGCCACAGCCCATAGTAACTACATTACCTGTCATGTGATAAATACTATGTCGTAAAATTTCCTTTTTGGATCTTTTCTAAGAGCTACTTTCTAATTATAACTGAAGTAAGCAGGAATTTCTAAAAATCTATGAAGTTTGGCATGTAATATTTCATGAAAAACAGTAATTTTTTATACTTGTACTTTGAAGAGAGCTCTATTTTGTTATACTTTATGAAACAAAGATTCAGATATTTCTTCTTGAAAGTAACATGATTGGAGAACTTCAGAATACAAGACAGCATGGAAAATGTATCCAAAGACAAAAACATGGAAAGAAGAGGAATTTTTCTATGTAGAGAGTTAATTTGGTGAAAGAAAGAAACTGAGAAAATGAAAAAGCAAAAGAAGGGGCTGCAGATTATCAAGCAGAGACAAGCTTTTATACCACAGGGTGTATTATAATCACCTACTTGCAACTTCAAAGGTAGACCTTAATAGTATTGCAGAAAGGAAAATATATGGGGTTTTAAAGGAAATGCGCAAAGTCAATCTGCACGTCAATGTAAATTTGTTTAACTTAGGAAAGATACTGGCAAGGCCAGCTCGATTAGGAACTAGATAGAAGTATTCCAGTAGAAATTGAGTCGTACACTTCATTCTCCTCTTGTCCCTATCACTGATCATATTTGTCCTTTTTCTTTTTGAAAATTTGGTTCTCAGACAATGAACTTCTTTTCTAACATGAAGGTCCCCAAAATGGGATACACACAACACAGAATGCATAAGACCATCCATTGGGGTGATGAGAAAATACTTAAACTTCCATTTATATTTATTTTTATGTTTAATACAAATGAATTAAATTTTGCTAATGTTTACTATGCATATTTATAGTGGGGTCCCCTCTCACTTGGCGGATACCAAGTAGTCACATACAATTTCCGAGGGGAAAGTGGGAGTTTGACTCTCCTAAAGAGGAGAACAAAGGTACTTGTCAGCAAATTGCTTCAGACTGTGGTTTATATGTGTCCGGTTTTGTGGAATTTATTATCTACTAGTTTTAATTAAACTAACTCGTGAAGTAGATAAGTGGCTGAAAAAGTTTTACAAAGAAACTGCTAGTGAAGATAATACCAATAATGTAAGAACAAGCAAACAAGAAGAAAAAAGAGCTATGAACTTAAAGTCAGCAACGTAACGAGGTAAAAATAACGATCTAATCAAGATCAAAAAGACTGTTTGAAGTATGGACTTCGATCCACTATTGGTAACAGTGAACCTTGCCCTAATGTTACCTGAAGCAGGTCCTGCCCTTTATGGCTTCTCGTCAATAAACACACATAGAGGTGAGAGGGAGGAAAAGTGTTTACTGCAAATGCACAGGCAAGAAGCAAGGAGGTGTATACCTCAAATTAAGCTCCCTGGACAAAGCGAGACAAGCTTTTATACCATCCTTCACAAGGAAGTACATACAGACATCATTGACTATCCCCATGGCATGCAGGTCAGTAAGACAAATTGCATTTTTTTTCCTTTAGTATGTACAGAAAATGGCAGGTGTAAGTCCCATCCTGGGCAGAGATTTTAATATTCAATTAGATCTTAATGAGGCTTAGGTTACTTTAGGACACTTTTGAGGCTTGTCAACTGATTTTGATTGGTTTTGGCTGATTTAAAGCAGAAGCCAAGTTACAGGCAAGCTCAACTTCTTGACAACAATGGACAGGAGGAGCATGTCTTGCTTGATACTGGCTGAGCAGCTGCTGGCTGTGCTCACTATCACTAAGTATATTGACCTGATATATCAACTAATGATAGCCTGAAGTCATCATGACTAGCAAAACATTTAGAAATATGCTCAGTTAATTTTTGTTTTACCTTTAATTTCTATTATTTGTGTACTTTTAACACACATATATATATACTCTGATATTTGCATGTAACTTAAAATGTTAATTCAAAGATTGGAGTTTACTGTGATTTTTACAATATTCAGCTGTCATTAAAAAATAGCATTCAAGAAACTACTCAGTTTAAAAGTGTTTTAAGTGTGTTATGTTTTAAAGTTTTTATTATGTAGAACACAAGTAATTAGAAACAAAAATGTTATGATGGCATCTCACTCAGTTGGCAGCATTAGTTACAAAATTTACTATAATCCTCCCGAGCCTTCTGAATCTCTAGATTTGCAAGGTACTCAAATTCAAATAGCTGTGCTCATGGGAGTGGAATTTTCGAGGTGACTTCTAGTTTACCTCAACATAAGTCTAAAAACAAGGTTTTTTTTTGGCCAGAAAATCAACTTCAGAAACTCAGAGACTAGAATACCCAACAGAAACTGAATTTACTTTCCTGTGATTTTATCCAAGAGGATCTACTGTGAAGAGGAATTTTGTTTTGTTTTTACATATTATGTTACACATAAAAATATACTGTATTTACATATAATGTGAAATTATTATATATTATAAATATTATATATAATAATTATTTCTCCAAGTGTTAACTCATTTAATTAAAGATTACATTATTAACTGCCACATACTGTATTAGACTGAATTACTTTTGGTACATATAAACCACTTAAAACATTTCCTTGGTGATTAAAAAAAAGGAAAAATATCGTCTTGTCTCAAGGTCTGTATATTTTTCTGTTTCATCTCATATTAAAAAAATGGAGTAACTCTTTTGAAATGTGGCCCCAAATTACAAAACTAACTGAAAAGAATTTTGGTTATTGCTAAACACTTGTGTTTCTGGGAAAGCGTTACAAAATAAGAACACAATGTACATTTAAGATGTAAGTCAGAGGTTTTACGTCATTTTGTGTTTTTTAAAACTTAAAGAATAATTCTTAATAATGTGCCAAACAGTGCTCTTCAAAGCAAAGTATGGCTAAAAAGAAGTAATTTGCTTTCAGATTTTTACCAATTATGGTATCTGTAAATTATTGATTAAATACCATTTTAAATAAAATATTTAGTTGTTGTTAGATACCGTCAAGTTGTGACTCATAGTGACCCTATGTACAGTAGAACGAAACACTGCCTGGTCCTGCACCATCCTCACAATTGTTGCTATGTTTGAGCCCATTGTTGCAGCCACTGTGTCAATCCATTTAGTACTCCCTACAAATGTTCCACCTACTCATTTTAGTTACTCATCTCCCAGACTGAATTTGGAAATAACAACATTTAATATATGTTTTTCTGCTAATTTGATAATCAAACATCTTTCTATATTTCATGTAACTAATACACTCACACTCATCAGGAATTTCTTATTGTAGAATAGTAAACAAGTTTTTAAAACAATCTTTGCATTATACATTTAAATGAGTTATACACTTAAATGAATTATACACTTACATGAATGTTTTGTGATCGCTGCTCTTCTTGTGCTGTGTATATTTTTATTTCTTTTATTCACTTGCTACAAAATTTCCATGGAGAATACTAACTGTTCAGAGAGATGATACTAAAGGCCAACTCTGTAGTTCACAGTAACCATAGCAATAGCTGTCCTAAAAATAAATAGTGCCTGTATCAGCACAGATGGGATCATCTTACTGAGGGAGAATCAGGTCCACAGGCAGTGGTATCACCTGGACCAGAGAATCCCACATGATAGTAACATAATAAAATATAGTATAAGA